CTCCTCACACTTGTCACCAGGCTATATTTTAAAAAAAAGAAAAGAAAAAAGGAAGTAACAAATGTTGGTGAGAATATGGGAAAAAGGGCACCCTCTGTGCACTGCTGGTGGGAATACAAAATGATGCAGCCACTATGGAAAAAATATGAAGGTTTCTTGGGACACCTAGGTGGCTCAGTCAGTCAAGTGTCTGCTTTCGGCTCAGGTTATGATCCCAGAGTCCTGGGATCGAGTTCCGCATCAGGCTCCCTGCTCAGTGGAGAGCCTGCTTCTCCCTCTGCCTGCCACTCCCCCTGCTTGTGCTCTCTGACAAATAAATAAATAAAATCTAAAAAAAGTATGAAAAAAGTATCAAAAAATTAAAAATACATCTACCATGATCCAGCAATTCCACTTCTCGGTACTTATTCAAAGAAAACAAAAATGCTAACTTGAAAAAACACACACATCCCTATGTCCACTGTAGCCTTACTTACAACAGCCAAGATATGAAAGCAACCTAAGCGTCCATCGATAGACGAATGGATAATGATGTGGTACACACACAAACATACACAAATATCAGCTATAAAAAAGAACGAAATCTTGCCATTTGCCACATCGATATTATGCTAAGTGAAATAAGTCAGACAGGAAAAAACAAATACTGGTTGATTTTACTTACAGGTGGAATCTAAAAAACAATACAAATGAAACAGAAACAAACTCATGTAGTCAGAGAAAAATCTGGTGGTTGCCAAGGGGCAGGGGTGACCGAGTGGAAGGATGGACAAAAGGGGAAAATTAAAAGGTTCAAATTTCATTATAAAATAAGTTGTGGGGATGTAATGTATACATAGAGAATATAGTTAATAATATTGTAACAACTTTGTATGGTGACATATGGTAGCTTGGTTTATGATGGTCATCAATTCCTATGTATATAAATGTTGAATCACTATGTAGGACACCTGAAACTAATATAATATTGTACATCAACTACATTTCCATTAAAACAACAATAACAAAAACCTCTAAAACTTCTGCTCTTCAAATATGCACTGTTGAGAAAACAAGAAGGCAAATCACAGGCTAGGGGAAATAGATTTGAAATACAAACATACCTGACAAAGAACTTACATCCAGAATATATAAAGAACTCTTATAATTCAATAATAAGACCAACACATTTTTTTAAATAGAAAGAAGATTCAAAAAGTGACTAGATAATCAAACTAAGTATATTTCTACTATTTGGCAATAAAAAAGAATGTACTACCAATACATGCAACAATATGGTTCACTAAAAATAATGGTGAGTGAAAGAAGTCCAGCACAAAAGAGAATATACTGTATGGTTTCATTCATATGAAAACTCCAGAAAAGACAAATCTATAGCTGCAGAAAGCAGATCAGTGATTGCCTAGATTGGTGGTTGGGGATGGTGGGAGAGACTGAGAAAAAACCAATGCACAAGGTTCCCAAAACTAATAAAAATGTATGCCTTAAAACAAATATACCCTATTGTATGCAAAAGTTGCATAAAAACTAAAGTTTTTATGTTGTAAAGTTGATTAAAAAACTAAAATATTTTTTTCTGAGAGGACCTTAGCTAAACTAGACTCAAAATCCAAAGGCATAAAGAAAAAGATTCATCAATCTTATAATCTTGCTATAAAAAATAAATTTCCACAGAAGTACCACTAACACAATAGTCATATCTGATAAGACTAATCACCTCTAAAAACTTATATAATCACAAATCATTAAGGAACTCTTAACAGAAAAACAGCCAGAGGGGCGCCTGGGTGGCTCAGTCGTTAAGCGTCTGCCTTCAGCTCAGGTCATGATCCCAGGGTCCTGGGATCGAGCCCCGCATCGGGCTCCCTGCTCAGCGGGAAGCCTGCTTCTCCCTCTCCCACTCCCCCTGCTTGTGTTCCCTCTCTCGCTATGTCTCTCTCTGTCAAATAAATTTAAAAAAAATTTAAAAAAAAAAAAAAAAGAAAAAGAAAAACAGCCAGAAACATAAGTAGAAAAATCAGAGAATCAACCACAAGAAATTTCAAAGAAATCAAAAATACTAATATGAATTTAAGTTAGTTCTATGTATTAAGTAAAGGCATACACTACTCTTCAACATAGCAATTTCATTTCTAGGAATTTACCCTAAAATTATATTTGCATATACAGACCAAAAAAAAGTATAAAAATTGCAGAATAGTGTCTAATACTTAGAATATCTAGTTCTCAACAAAAAATTACAGAACACACAGAGAAATAGAGAACTATGGACCATTCACAGGAAGAACAGAATTTGATAGGAACCATCCTAAGTAAGCCCAGACATTGGAATTACTGGTCAAAGATGTTAAATCAACTATCTTAAATATGCTTAATGAGCTAATGGAAAGCATGGACAAACCTAAGAGTAATCAGGAAAAAGACATATGAACAAAACAATGTAAAGGAAATCAGTAGGCCTATCCTACGAGAAATATTACTGGGAGTTATTCAGGGTGAAATAAAGATAGCAGAGAGTAACTAAAAGCCGTAAGAAGAAATAACACTGATAAGGATAATTACATAGGTAAATACAAAAGAAAATATTATTATACTTTTGGTATACAATTCCTCTTTTTCCTTATCAGATTTAAAAGAGAAATGAATAAAACAGAGAAGTATAGAAGCAGAGTATTTGTATACTACTGGAACTAAGCTGGTATTATTCACATGAGGTTGTTATAAATTTAATCCTCACCAAGACAACCATACACACACACACACACACACACACTATATATTTAAAAATACATAGAACAGGAAAGAAGGAAATCAGAATTGGAAATCAAAAAGGCAACAATAGAAAAAATGTGAGGTGGGGGGCACTTGGGTGGCACAGTCCTTTAAGCGTCTGCCTTCAGCTCAGGTCATCATCTCAGGTCACGATCCCCGTGTTGTGCTCCCTACTCAGCAGAGTCTGCTTCTCCCTCTCCCTCTGCCTCCCCTCCCCCTCCTCGTGCTCTCTCTCAAATAATCTTAAAGAAAAATTGAGGGGAAGACAGAAAACCCATGAAAGACATACAGAAAACAAAAACAAATACCAAAAGTGGAAGAAGTATCTTTCATTATCAGTAATTATTTTAATGTAAATGAATTAAACTCTCCTATTCAAAGGCAGAGACTGGCAGATTGAATTAAAAAGCAGGGTCCATCTATATGCTATCTATAACAGATTCATTTTAAATTCAAAGACACTGAAAGTAACAGGATGGAAAAGGACATTCCAAGCAAATAGTAACCAAAATACATCTAAGACGGCTATACAGTTGACCCTTTCAACAACACAGGTTTGAACAGCATTTGTCTACTTATATGCAGATGTTTTCAATAAATACAGTACAGTACTGTAAATGTACTTTTCCTTTATTTTTTTTAAAGATTTTTATTTATGTATTTATTTTTTTGAAGATTTTTTTTGAAGATTTATTTATATGACAGAGAGAAAGCACAAGCAGGGGGAACAGCAGGCAGAGGGAGAGGGAGAAGCAGACTCCCCACGGAGAATGGAGCACGATGCAGGGCTCAATCCCAGGACCCCGGGATCAGGACCTGAGCCGAAGGCAGATGCTTAACCGACTGAGCCACCCAGGCGCCCCAAGATTTTTGTTTATTTATTTTAGAGAGCGTGAATCCATGCCTGCGTATGAGTTGGGGGAGGGGTGGAGGGAGAAAGAGAGAATCTCAAGTAAACTCCTTGCTGAGCACAGAGCCTGACCTGAGCTGAAATCAAGAGTTGGATGCTTAACCAACTGAGACTCTAAGGCATCTTCCTTTATTTTAATAACACTTTCTTTTCTTTAGCTTACTTTATTCTAAGAATGCAGTATACAATACATACAATATATAACATACATCTGTTAATCGACTGTTTATGTTATTGGTAAGGCTTCCCATCAAGATGAGGCTATTAGTTCTAAATTTTTGGGAGTCAAAAGTTTATGTGGAGGTGCCTGAGTGGCTCAGTTGGTTAAAGTGTCTGCCTTTGGCTTGGGTCATGATCCCGGGGTCCTGGATTTGAGCCTCACATCAGGCTCCCTGCTCAGCAGAGAGCCTGCTTCTCCTTCTTCCTCTGCTGCTCCCCCTGCTTGAGCTCGCTCTCTCTCATACATAAATAAAATCTTAAAAGTTATATGTGGATTTTCAACTGCCTGGGAAAGGACAGGTCAGCACTGCCACGCCTCTTGGTTGTTCAAGGGTCAACTGACTTTTTATTATTAGGCAAAACGGACTTTAAGTTACAAAAGGTTACAAGAAACAAAGGACATTATATACTAATAAAAGGTTCAATCCAGCAAAAAGATAAAATATAAATATATGTATCTGCCATCAGAGCCCGAAGACATATAAAGCAAACACAAGAGCTGGATGCTTAAACTACTGAGCCACCCAGGTGCCCTAGGATTCTATTTTAGATGGTAGCTCTGGTAGCAACTGGAGAATGGAAAAGTGGGGGGAAAGCTGAAGGCATAACAGTTAAAAGGCTACTCTAATTGTTGAAGCCTAAACAATGGCAGTAATAATTGAAACAAGTTTTAAAGGTAGATTCCGTGGGATCTGAGAAAAGATAAGACCTATAAAGACAGTGAGCAAGTGTCATCAATGATAATTCCCAGATTCCCAAACAGATGAACATAAATGTGGTGATACAATTAATTTTGAGATGAGGATGACAGTATTGAGAATGTTTTCCACCTTTGTTACTAAAAAATTATTCCTGCTCCTCATTTTGATTATCTTACAAGTTGTCAATCAGAATCTAACTAAAACTTCATGCTGTCTAAAGGTAGGCCTTTGGAAAGAATTGCTACCCTGTCAACTAATTTTCTAGCACATTATATGAAATTTCTTTAAAATCATTACAGGTTTTATAAAATATTATCCATACGTGTTTTAAATTCTCAAATAGACAAGCAACAAAAATTTTCTGGTTCACACTAGCTCACTTACAAACATTTTCTTACCATGATTGGCTTGCCCTGAAATGTTTTAACTTCTTCTCTTAAGTATTTAAAAGCCTGTTAACAAAGCAGAAAGAACTTTTATTAGCATTCAAACATTTCACTAAAGCCATCTTTATTCTATCAAGAGTTGGTATTAGCAACCATCTCCAAACTAAACAATAAAAAATTCTGAAGTCAATTCCATTATGCAGGTGATAAGGAATGAAAAAGTAAAAACACTCCAGTTGAAGTTCACACTTACTATAGATTAATGCAGAAAAAAAAAATGCACAAAAAACAGACCCCAAATTTCTCTACATATTTACAGTCTTCTAAGATGAAAAATTAAAAAAAAAAAAATCAGTGGGGTGCCTGGCTAGCTCAGTTGGTGGACTATGCAACTCTTGATCTCGGGGTCTTGACTTCGAGCCCCACACTGGGGTAGAGTTTACTTTAAAAATCAATCAGTCAATTGGGGCGCCTGGGTGGCTCAGTCATTACGCGTCTGCCTTCGGCTCAAGTCATGATCCCAGGGTCCTGGGATCGAGCCCCACATTGGGCTCCCTGCTCAGTGGGAAGCCTTCTTTTCCCTCTCCCACTCCCCCTGCTTGTGTTCCTGCTCTTGCTATCTCTCTGTCCAATAAATAAATAAAATCTTAAAAAAAAAAAATCAATCAGCGAGTGGTTTTAAAATGCTATTAGATATATTTTTGTTTTTATGTTTCAATGGATTATTATTTCTCTTTAAGTTGGACATGACAACAAGAGTAAAATCATTAATGTCAAAATTCCAATAATCAGAAAGGAAGTTATATATTTATTGTGGGCCTAGTGCGTATATACTAGAAATACCAACTACTGAGTACGTGGTTCCCAATCTTTAAATTAATTTTAAAATTGTGTGTTAATTTTTTTATTGATATGAAACCAACTTCTTTTTTTTTTTAAAGATTTTATTCATTTGACAGAGAGACACACAGTGAGAGAGGGAACACAAGCAGGGGGAGTGGGAGAGGGAGAAGCAGGCTTCCTGCCGAGCAGGGAGCCCGATGCAGAGCAGGGAGCCTGACGCGTGGCTCGATCCCACCAGGACCCTGGGACCATGACCTGAGCTGAAGGCAGACGCTTAACAACTGAGCCACCCAGGTGCCCCAGGAAACAAACTTCTTAAATTGAAACTGAAAAAGCTTTAGGAAAATGATCAAAAAGGAAACCAATTAAGAAGCACAACCAAGGGGCGCCTGGGTGGCTCAGTTGGTTAAGCGACTGCGTTTGGCTCAGGTCATGATCCTGGAGTCCCGGGATCGAGTCCCGCATCAGGCTCCCTGCTCGGCGGGGAGTCTGCTTCTCCCTCTGACCCTCCCCCCTCTCATGTACTCGCTCTCTCTCATTCTCTCTCTCTCAAATAAATAAAATCTTTAAAAAAAAAAAAAAAAAAGAAGCACAACCAAGAAGTTGAACAAGGTGCTCAATAGCTCAACAGTCTTTACAAATATTGCTGTGAGCACATATTTTCTCCATTAAAATATACCACTACTTCTTTTATCACCAGGACTTCAAATCAGAAGGAAAGTTTTTCTCACCTGTTGTGCATCTGTGTCTGACTGGAAAGTGATATACCAGTTGCTATTGTGTGCAAACTCACAGCTTATCACCTTGGGGCAGTTTTCATTCTTGAACAAAGCTTTAACTTCCTAAAAAAGAAAAACTTTAGTGTAAATTTTGAATATGATTTAGAGATAGAATCTTATTTTAATATCAGCAAAACTGAAGCATTTCACTCTTAGTGGCAAGCTAAATTTTCCTTAACAGTAAAATCTCTCTAGACCTGCCATTATCCAAAAAAGGAAAAGTATGTCCTCCATTAACATTTTCTAGTGCTTATTTATTTTCATGCATTCTCATTCAATCCAGATGCTCTGTCTACATCAGTCACAGATACGAACTCTGTGCAAAGATAGTTTTGCTTTTCCATAATTGAAACTGAAATTTCAATAACTGAAACCTAAAACAAATATATGTATTTCAAAAAAGATGATTATCAAAACTCAGAACTGTGTAGAAATTTATAAAAAGAAAACAACTGGAAGTCAACATTAAGTATCTCTAAACGGTTACAGAAAGAAAGGAAACATTTACTGAAATCCCATGTAGGGTGAGACACAGATTTAACCTGAAAACAACCCTGTTTTAAAGATTTTATCATTATCCATTTTACAGCTGAGTAAATGGTACCTCAAACTGTTTAACTTACTCACACTATGACAAAGAACTCAAATCCAGATTTGTATGCCTCCAAACTCCATTTTGTCTAATACCTACCTGAGTTCAAGGAGAAATTCAATAATAACCATTAATTCCCAAATATTGAAGAATCTTATCAGGTTAAAGTGCCCACAAAATACCAAAATATCACAAGGTATCCATTTTTAAAAAGGTAATTACTAAGCTGATGGGACAATCAACATGATAACAGTGAAGTCTAACCTGTAGTCTAATTCCCTCAAATTTTTGCTACACTGAATTAAAAAAAATTACGTCTCTACTTATGATGAAATTTGCTTGGGTCAAATACTACTCGAAATAAATAGTGTGCAACCAGCTGAGTTTTGTGACATTTGTGAAAGTGGTGAAATATCACCAAGTTCAGTTAATAAAATTCTCATCCAGTCCAGAATTACATTTCTGTAATCATAGAACTATCTGTGGAACTGTTAGACTGCCACCCACTGATCTCTACCTTCAAAAATCCAGATATTCTCCAAATATTTCTAATTCTCTTAAATGTATAATGAATTGATTCATTTATTTAAATCTTTTCATTTTCAGCCTTTATTATTCTTTTTTTTTTTTAAAGATTTTATTTATTTATTTGAGACAGAGAGAATGAGAGAGACAGAGAGCACATGAGAGGGGGGAGGGTCAGAGGGAGAAGCAGGCTCCCTGCCGAGCAGGGAGCCCGATGCGGGACTCATCCAGGGAGTCCAGGATCATGACCTGAGCCGAAGGCAGTCACTTAACCAACTGAGCCACCCAGGTGCCCCAGCCTTTACTATTCTTTAGGAAGAGCTATGCTCATAGATTTACTTTCCCAAGTATAAAAAAAGAAGTCTGGATCTAAAGTAATTTGTTCCACCTGACAGGAACCTTTAAGGTCACCACCCCAAATCCCTTATGTTAATTTGAATTTCAGTGATTACTGCCTAGGCTGACTTTCTCTGGCTATCTTAGTCATCTGCACTTCTTTTACTTTTTTTAAATCAACGGTATGTTGCTGCCTTGTTCCTTTTTATTTATTGCTTTTCGTGTGTGACCTATGTATTCAGAATATAAATTACAATAATTATAAAAATAATAATATGAGCTAATCTTAGATTTGTTTTACATGCCAAGTACTGCTCTAAGTTCTTTATATACTAACTCACTTATTTCTCACAATTTTATGAGTTACTTATTACTATTATCCCATTTAACAGATGGAAAAAAAAACAAAGCAAAACAGGTTAAGTAACTTATGCAAGGTCATAGAGTTATCAAGTGAAAAGTTGGAATTTAAATCCAGGCAGCTTGGCTCTAGAGTGCAGGCTCATATATCCTACACTGTTTCTTAATAATGCAAATATTCTTCCCATTCTGCAATTTTCCTTTCAATCTGTTACTTTTGACATATAGTTCATAATTTTTAAAAAGAAGGTCTATCTAGTGACAGTTTCTTTTCTAATTTCTCTCACTGTTTCTAAGTTTAGGAAATCTTTATTCTGGAGAGTTAATACTGAATGAATCTGGGCAAAAAGATTAACTACTAATGTGCCACATTTGTTAGGTGGCAAGAATCTAAAAATTCTTTTTTAAATGGCTAACCAATTACCATATATCAGTTACTAATTAATCCTCCCCATCTTTAACTTATTATCATTAACATGGCAACTTAGTGTGAAGTCCTGTGGTTTACTGGTTAAGAAACATAGGCTTTGGAATCTGAGAGAGCGAGTTCAAATCAGATTCTGTCATTTAAACCGCCCATGTGTCTTTAGGCAAGTTATTTAACCATACAAAGGCTCAGTTACTTATCTGTAAAACAAGAGATAACAAAACCTTAGGCTTTAAATTACCATAAAGTACACAGCACAATACTTGGTAGAACCTAATTACTAAATAAATGTTATCATACATACATTACTATATAAAAGGGTCTATTCCAGGATTATACTGTTTCATTCAAATACTATTTTATTCCTTTACCTGTACCACACCATCTTTATGACTGCAACTCTGCTTTATATTTGCTAGCTAGTAGAATTAGTCTTGAATCTTATTTTTCTTCTTCATTCCTAAGTTTATTCTTTCAGATTAATCCTCAAGTTCCCAAAAGAGCCTATTTATATTTTAATTGCCAGTCAAATCAATAAATTGAGAACTAGTAACACTGCAATACTCAGTCCACCATTCTAAGAACATGGAATTATATCTTCCTCCTCCCTCTGTACCATTCTTCCAGTGTTTCAGAATTTACAAAACAAAATTTAACCTAGTCACATAATTGATATGAGGGCACTGACTTATACTTTGTTTACCTTCAATTTGAACAGTTAAAGAACACTTAGCTTAATGAGATACCACCTCACACCAGTCAGAATGGCTAAAAGAGAAAGGGGAACCCTCCTACATTGTTGGTGGGAATGCAAGCTGGTGCAGCCACTCTGGAAAACAGTATGGAGGATCCTCAAATAGAGCTACCATATGACCCAGCAATTGCACTACTGGGTATTTACCCCAAAGATACAAATGTAGGGATCTGAAGGGGTACATGAACCCTGATGTTTATACCAGCAATGTCCACAATAGCCAAACTATGGAAAGAGCCAAGATGTCCATCAACAAATGAATGGATAAAGAAGATGTGGTGTATATATATATAATGGAATATTATGCAGCCATCAAAAGGAATGAAATCTTGCCATTTGCAATGACGTGGATGGAACTGGAGGGTATTATACTGAGCGAAATAAGTCAATCAGAGAAAGACATGTATCATATGACCTCACTGATATGAGGAATTCTTAATCTCAGGAAACAAACTGAGGGTTGCTGGAGTGGTGGGGGGTGGGAGGGATGGGGCAGCTGGGTGATAGACATTGGGGAGGGTATGTGCTATGGTGAGTGTTGTGAATTGTGTAAGACTGTTGAACCATAGACCTGTACCTCTGAAACAAATAATATATTATATGTTTAAAAAAAAAAAAAAAGATAGCAGGAAGGGAAAAACGAAGGGGGGGAAATCGGAGGGGGAGATGATTGGACTATGAGACTGTGGACTCTGAGAAACAAACTGAGGGCTCTAGAGGGGAGGGGGGTGGGGGGATGGGTTAGTCTGGTGATGGGTATTAAAGATGGCATGTACTGAATGGAGCACTGGGTGTTATACGCCAACAATGAATCATGGAACACTACATCAAAAACTAATGATGTAATGTATGGTGATTAACATAACATAATAACATAAAATTAAAAAAAAAACCACTTAGCTTTAACAATGCTTAATAATTTACCTCTATAGGCGTTGTTTCAGGAATCTCTCTAAGAATCACAATACAACGCTTATGACTTGGTCTCACTTTCTCGCCCTTCTCATCAACTTGTACCATAGGAGAAGCTGAAATTTAAAAAAGTTTCATTCAAAAGTGACAAGGAGAGATATTAATATTGCCATTAAAAACTATTCATTTCTATTTCCAAGTGAATAAATTAGCAGAGAAATTAAATTGTAGAACCAAAGATTACAGTTGTAACAAAATATTTTTAGATTAATATACAAGAACACTGTCAAGTGTTATTCTTTGAACAAATATACAGAGTACCTACTTTGCGTCTTGGCACTGTGTTGGGGTTGAAAAACTTTCAGGAGTATACAATACATATCTAACAAGGTAAAATTACCCTGTGTATAATTACTGAATTCTGGATTTCTGGAGATAATAAAAATCAGTGTACTTGCATTCTACTCTTGTAACTGGATGACAGTATTGCATTCTGACATGTGAAGAAATTCTTAAAATTCAAGTCTAAGAAGCACTTAAACCAAGAATTAAACTCAAATGATTATAACTTTCCCTTGATTTTAACATATTTATTCTTAAATACTATTACAGACACTGAGAAGCCATCTTTTAGATGCTGATTTTGAGGAAATATTTAATGAAGATAGTACAATCTAACCAAAACTTTTATTCCTAGTCCCGTCAGAGAGATAATATGCCACACCTCTCTGAACAGGTAAGAAGTGAGAATAAAAGAAAAAGGGAAGAAGAGTTGGGCTTAAGTAAGTACTAGATTCTAGCCCTTAGTGGAGGATTCTGCTGGTGTCTTGGCTGATTTTTTTCTGATTACAAGACTGGGTTGTTTTAAGAAACCACTGCACAAACCAATCAGAGATTTCATAAATGTTTTTAGCCCTCTGAGAATGGAAATCTACTCTCATAAAGCCTATTATTGTACTTGGTATATTTAACTTTTAAACATTTTCAACAACACATTTCATATAAAAATGAAGAGCTGCCTTTATTCAGTCAAGTAGTTAAAACTTTGGTAAGGTTTTGCTAAGAAAGGTTAGCAAGAAATACTGATATAAGACATAAAGACCATTAAAAATGCTTAGAACCTCAAATTCTTTACCAAACTTTAGAGTTTGGTAAAGTCAAACTACAGACTGCAATTCTTTAACAGGTTGTGAAATCAATTTGGGGGGGGAAAAAGTTAATTCCAAGCATTTAGTATTAATCTGAATAATTAACATTTCAGTTGTATGTGGGTATGTAGTGTATGTACTGGGCTATAGCGTAAAATGTACTTCTTACTTGGGTTCAAAAGTTTGAAACAATGCTTTAGAAGATGTGATAATGATACATGTAACTTTCTAATAGCCTAGAAAACAGATTTAATTGCTTATACTTGGAGTAAGTGGGTGATGAACAAACAAGGTACAGAAGTGATATAGAAGCTATATACCAAGTCAGTAAAAATAAAGATAAATTATTGGAACAGAATAACAAAAAACAGGGAGTTAACAATTCCCTGCCTGAGAAGCATAGCTTAATGTATAGAATTGTGGAATCGGGGCACCTGGGTGGCTCAGTCGTTGGGCGTCTGCCTTCGGCTCAGGTCGTGATCCCAGGGTCCTGGGATCGAGCCCCGCATCGGGCTCCCTACTTGGCGGGAAGCCTACTTCTCCCTCTCCCACTCCCCCTGCCTGTGTTCCCTCTCTCGCTGTCTCTCTCTCAAATAAATAAATAAAATCTTAAAAAAAAAAAAAAAGAATTGTGGAATCACTATGTTGTATACTTGAAAAAATACATTATATGTCAACTACAATTTAAAAAAATAAAAATAAAATGGCCAACAAAACCAAAAAATTCCCTGTATGATCAGAAATCAGAAGAATATTTAGCTTTTTGACGTAAAAAAATAGCTATAGCTACAAGGTATGATTTACATACATCTCAACACTTCAAGAATTAGATCAGGGTCTGTGGTCAGCTTTTTTATTTCTTCCATGTTGGCAACTGTCCAAATTGGGATGAACTGATCACTGTCCATTTGAGATATCAGGTAAAGATCCTTTGACAAATTTTCTCTGAAAGGAATAAACAAAAGCAAGAGTCCCATAAAACAAAGAATTCTTAAAAAAGCAGCTAAAGAAGTGTCTTATTCACTTCTGTCACTTAGTTAAACAAAATTATGCTACCAGAAATAACACAGTGAACTCTGAAAATACATAATACACAACAAATATACTCTAACAACTTTCAGAAAGTTTCTGAATCACCAAATACATCATGCCCAAAATTCTGAACAAGGGAACTTTATGGAATTATATTGATATGGAAAGAGGCTTAATAAAGTATTACATACAGTGTAGTTCCATCTTATAAACAGTTTATCACTGATGTTAGAATATGCATATGGGGAAAATTAGAGCTTCAATCATGAATTTAACTGTAAAGGATTTAAAATTTCTAAATGTTTGTGGGGCGCCTGGGTGGCTCAGTCGTTAAGCGTCTGCCTTCGGCTCAGGTCATGATCCCGGGGTCCTGGGATCGAGCCCCGCATCAGGCTCCCTGCTCGGCGGGAAGCCTGCTTCTCCCTCTCCCGCTACCCCTGCTTATGTTCCCTCTTTCGCTGTGTCTTTCTCTGTCAAATAAATAAATAAAACCTTTAAAAATAAAAAATAAAAATTTCTCAATGTTTGTATTTTTAAAGTATGTTTGACTTTTTATTTAAATTTAATAAATTTAAAACTAAATTTAAAACATTTAAAAGATTCTTTAAGATACATTTCTTAAAAAGATAGAAACACTTCTATCTTACATATAAAATCTCATGTAACAAATTGAAGTAAAATCATACTCATGTTGTCTTATTCACATCAGATCTTTGAAGCAGTCTAGTTATAAACAGCTGGAAGTCTTTGCTTAAAAGCCCCCTTTTCTCAATGACCCTATTTAAAACTGAAACCACCCAAGCACTCTTGATTCCCCTTCTCTTAATTACAGTGTTCTAAATTTTTTTCCAGTGCTTACCACTTAGCACACTTCTAAGTTTATTATGCTTTTTAAAAAAATTATTTTTGTCTCCTCCAGCCAGAATACAGGTTCCATGAAGAATCTTTGTTGTTCAAAATGTATTTCAAGGCCCTAGTGCCTGGCAAAGGGTAGGGCCAAAGGCCTCTACATTCAAGTTTTATTAAAATAAAGTAGTAATTACTTTTTAAAAATTACAATTGCCGGGGCGCCTGGGTGGCTCAGTTGGTTAAGCGACTGCCTTCGGCTCAGGTCATGATCCTGGAGTCCCGGGATCGAGTCCCGCATAGGGCTCCCTGCTCGGCAGGGAGTCTGCTTCTCCCTCTGACCCTCCCCCCTCTCATGCTCTCTCTCTCTCAAATAAATAAATAAAATATTTTTAAAAAATAAATAAATAAAATAAAAAAATAAAAATAAAAATTACAATTGCCAACAGGTTGTTTTGGGGGCAAAAAATAATAGAGAAGATACCAGCAAAGGTTAAACTCACTTTAGCATAAATGGAGGAACATGGTAATAACATCTTCATCAAGATATTCTTTTTTTGCTGTTTATTAGAGAGGGCGGGGTAGAGGGAGAGGAAAAGACAGAATCTTAGGCAGACTCTATGCCCAGAGCAGACCCCAACATGGGCTCAATCTCACAACCCTGAGATCATGACCTGAGCTGAAATCAAGAGTCGGACGCTAAATTGACTAAGCCACCCAGGCGCCCCTGTACATATATTTACATAACTAAAAAGTTGTAGCCTAAATCAACTCTGACTTTCAGCATGTCTGTTCTTATAAAACCTTAGTCAAACTTTTTTTTTTTTAAAGATTTTATTTATCTGAGACAGAGAGAGAGCATGAGAGAGAGAAAGATCACGAGTACGGGGGAGGAGTAGAGGGAGAAGCAGACTCCCCGCTGAGCAGGGAGCCTGACGTGGGACTCAATCCCAGGACCCTGGGATCATGACCTGAGCTGAAGGCAGACGTTTAATGACTGAACCACCCAGGCACCCCAAACCTTTTTTTTTTTAAGATTTTATTTATTTATTTGAGAGAGAGTGAGAGAGTGTGCATGTGTGTGATCGTGCATGAGCAGGGGTAGGGTCAGAGGGAGAGGGAGCAGCAGACTCCATGCTCAGCATAGAGCCTGACATGGGGCTCGATCCCATGATCCTGAGGTCATGACCTGAGCTGAAGTCAGATGCTTAACCAACTGACACACCGAGATGCCCCAACTTTGGTTAAATTCTTAAAGAAACCGTATCTCATCAGAAGTCAAATTAATGGATATAAATCACATCTATTTACATCTATGATTTGACTATTCATGATTAATTCCTGATATGTGCTAATAACACTTTTGCTGAGCCACAAGCGTCAATCATATAGTTTGTTTAAACTGTACCAAAGTTCTGAGTAGGATGTGGTAGATCATGACAAACCAGTGCTCCTATTGCAACAACTAAAAAAGCCTGGCTAAATTACAAAAATCACATTCTGGAGATGAAGGAAAGAAGCTACAAGAACAAAATGGAGGGCGCCTGGGTGGCTCAGTTGGTTAAGCGACTGCCTTCGGCTCAGGTCACGATCCTGGAGTCCCGGGATCGAGTCCCACATCGGGCTCCCTGCTCAGCAGGGAGTCTGCTTCTCCCTCTGACCCTCCCCCCTCTCATGCTCTATCTCATTCTCTCTCTCAAATAAATAAATAAAATCTTAAAAAAAAAAACAAAATGGAATTCCAGAAAGATGGTCTTTTCTTCCTGAGGGGGTCTGCAGATACGGGACCAGGGGGAAACCAGCAGAGTTTTAGGCAGTTGCACAGGACTGGCACTGTGAATTGGAAACTAAAGGAGCTCCTAACATACAGCAGATTTCCCCCCATATAACATTTCCTGAGTTCTAAGGAGGAAGGTGGGAGACTGGGAGCCAGGCTAAAAAGGCAGAGTAACATCTCTGTGGTTTTGTGGAAGTTCCAGTGGAAGGAAGAAACTCTCATCAAACACAAGAGAGGTCTCCCCCACAAAACATTTGCCAGATTTTGAAGCTTACAGGGTAAGAGACTAAAGAGCTAATCTCAACCCTCTCAAGAACAGGACTAAATCTCCCTTGGTGTTTCAGAACTGAAGTAACAGAAAACAGACAACTTCCAAATCAAGACTGAAAAGGTCACGACTAAGGAACAGAGATAAATCAGAGGTAGATGGAGTCTAATTACAGTGGCTGCTCAGTCCTAACCCAGCTCAATTCCTGACTGGACTGACAATCAATCTGCTTCTGCCTACCAGAAGAAAGCTCAAATCTTGTCTAGAGGGAAAGATCTTATCACTTGCAGCTCCTAGCTGCTTTTACATGTAATGTTCAGCGTATAATCAAAATTTCTAAGACATTAAAAAAGGCAGGAAATTATGAGAGAACCGAGAGAAAAAACTCAAATATAAGCAGACACACAAATGATCCAGTTAGTAGGCAAAGATTTTTAAATAACTATTACAAATATATTACAGAAAATGAATTGTATTGCAGGAACAAATGACTAAAGACAGACAGAAACTCCCGCTTTTATCATTTTATCCTGTACTAGACTATAAAGGCAAAGAATAAAAAGGAGGGAAAAAAGGAGGAACTATTTAGGATAAAGAATCAATTAAACCTGAGTCAAGAGCATATTATGTGTAAAGAAATAAAGAAGTCTAGGGGCACCTGGTTGGCTCAATAGGTAGAACACATGACTCTTGATTTCAGGGTCATGAGTTCAAGTCCTATGCTAGGAATTGACCTTACTTAAAAAGTAAATAAATTAAAAAAAGAGGGGCGCCTGGGTGGCTCAGTCATTAAGTGTCTGCCTTCGGCTCAGGTCATGGTCCCGGGGTCCTGGGATCGAGCCCCGCATCAGGCTTCCTACTCTGCGGGAAGCCTGCTTCTCCCTCTCCCACCCACCCTGCTTGTGTTCCCTCTCTCACTGTGTATCTCTCTGTCAAATAAATAAATAAAATCTTTTAAAAAAATAAAATAAAATAAAAAAGAAATAAGAAGTCTGTGATAAAATCCAGGTTTCTAGCTTGAAAAATTGGTTTACCGGTCCTACCTCTCACCACGTATAAGAAAAATAGAAGGCATTACCTTTGCATGCATATCCAAACTTCTCTTTATTTTGGAAGGGGCAGTTTTACAATACTGAAGTTTTATGACATCTAAACTATAACTACATAATTGTTATCTGTAAATAAGACATCTGGAGGGGTGCCTGGGTGGCTCAGCTGGTTAAGTGTCTGACTCCTGGTTTTAGCTCAGGTCATAATCTCAGAGTCGGGAGATTGAGGCCCATGTCAGGCTTGTGCTCAGCACAGAGTTGGCTTGAGATTTCCTCCCTCCGCCTCTGTCCCTCCCCTTGCCCCATGCACGCACTCTCCCTAAAATAAATAAATAAAATCTTAAAAAAAAAAAAAAAAAAAGGGGACGCCTGGGTGGCTCAGTCAGTTAAGCATCTGCCTTCAGCTCAGGTCATGATCCCAGGGTCCTGGGATTGAGTCCCACATCAGGCTCCCTGCTCAGCGGGGAATCCGGAATCCGCTTCTCCCTCTGCCTGCCACTCCCCCTGCTTGTGCACGTGCTCTCTCTGACAAATAAATAAAACCTTAAAAAAAAAAAAAAAAGACATCTTGAAACGTTTGCCTGAAAGAACTCCTTATTTAATAGAAGACACTAGTAACATAAATTCTATGCCCATCATAACTCCATGATCAAAGGTTACACAAGCTAGCTACTAAAAAGATATATTAAGAGATAACCACTGTTTTGAGAACCGTAAACCTGAGTATGTTTCTAGGAAAAGTATCCAATACCCAATCCAAAAGTAATCCAATCCAGTATTTCATTATCTTTTCTACTAAGACTAGATCCTTTGCATATCCAATTAGAGACTACATCTTTAAATTTAGTTCACTGAAGGAAATTAAAACCACCATTCTTCCACTCTATTTCACAGGTATTTCACATCTATTAACCAAACAATTCAAAAAATGAGAAATCTCAATAAAAGAAATATGAATAACATACCGGGAGAAACAGAATTCCAATTGTTTCTTCAGACATTCTTTTAGGTCTTCTGTAGAAATTGCTGAATTACCTTCCCCTGAAGGTAGAAAACAGAGGAAAAAAGTTAATACCAAATTACCATAGGTAGTAAACACTGCATAAAGTTGTACTCAAAATACATCACAAAGTATGCACAAATTAAAATTCACAACAAAACTATTATTTTTAAGTTCAACTGAATTCTAACAAAGTCTAATTTCAACCTATCTATTCTTTCTTTAGATAGAGTTCAGACCGTTTAAAATTATTTTTTTTAAAGATTTATTTATTCATAAGAGACAGACAGAGAGAGGCAGAGGGAGAAGCAGGCTCCCCACTGAGCAGGGAGCCCAATGCAGGACTCAATCCCAGGACCCTGGGATCATGACCTGAGCCGAAGGCAGACACTTAACCATCTGAGCCACCCAGGCGCCCAGTTTGAAATTATTTTATCAAGTAATGAACAAAGCACCATTAATACTAAAGGTACTTGGCTACCCTACGTAAAACACTACCCTAAAATCTTTAAAATTGTGATAACTACTGGGGCGCCTGGGTGGCTCAGTCATTAAGTGTCTGCCTTCGGCTCAGGTCATGATCCCAGGGTTCTGGGATCAAGCCCCGCGTCGGGCTCCCTGCTCAGCGGGAAGCCTGCTTCTTCCTCTCCCACTCCCCCTGCTTGTGTTCCCTCTCTCGCTGTGTCTCTGTCAAATAAATAAATAAAATCTTAAAAAAAAAATTGTGATAACTACTTATTCCTTTAATGAAAGCTCAAAGAACAAAAGTAATAGTAATCTAAATTTGAACGAACTAGCTAAACAAATTGGGATTATATATATCTTTATAACTGGTACTAAATCTGATGTTAGTCATACTTCTTCAACTGTTATCTCTTAATACTGTTTTCTTTTCATTCCTTGATTATAGAGCTCTTTACCTTCCTAGGAATATTTAAAACACTCAAACATCCAAAGGATCAAATCAACTCTTAACAACCTTCTATGCCTTCAATCATTTAAACCCAGAACACAAGACTTTTTTTTTGGAACTCAAGCCTGGAAAACCATCACTCTTTTATTAGAATCTTACACAAAACATTATAGACTCAAAGCATGAAATTTGTCCTCTTCTTAAAAAAAGCATTAGTGATTACGTAGGCTAATTTCCTTTAAATACAAACAATAGAATGCATATAAAGATAAATAAATTTTGTGCATGATTTTAACACTACCTTGTCTTAGTACTCAAGATTCAAAGTGATAGTAAATATTAACTTCATTAAAAATGAATATAAGAAGCATTCTATTTCTATGTATATGCAATCGTTCTAATACAAAATCCAACCACCCAAATGTGCTACCTAAAAATGAGCAATAACTTCATTTAACTTTTCAATGTCATTACAGGAAACTTATTAAAATACCAACTGGTTGCTACATTACTAAAACCAACTCTATGTTTAAAGTACCCAGTGGTGGGGCGCCTGGGTGGCTCAGAGGGTTAAGCCTCTGCCTTCAGCTCAGGTCATCATCCCAGGGTCCTGGGATCAAGTCCCACATCAGGCTCCCTGCTCAGCAGAGAGCCTGTTTCTCCCTCTCCCTCTGCGCCTCCCCCTGCTCATGCTCTCTATCTCTCTGTCTCAAATGAATAAATAAAAAATAAAATAAAATAAAAAATAAAGTACCCAGTGGTTAGGTATATTATGACCATAGTAGGGAGAAGAACCTGGCACCTTAAATTATTATATGGAAATATCACCCATGCCACTTCAGAAATCAACTTACAAGCTGACAAAACATAGAAATCTAGTCCAAATATTTATAATAAATAAGGAAACTGAGGACAAAGGTTTATGTATCTTGACTGAAAGTCACAGAACAGAACTAAGCAGCAACAGAAAAGAGTATACCCTATTACATTTATTTTCCAAAGACATGCTTTAAATCAGAAAAGTTAAGTTAGGTAGTTGGGGTCTTTGGTCCATTTTTAGTTTCTTTTAAATCTCATCCATTTTAAATTCAAGCCAACTACTAACCCATGCTAATGAAATAAATGTGAAAAAAAAATTTCACAAGTTGAACTGTAGTAGAACCATGTTTTTAATACAGCCATTTTCTCAAAATTAATCCCTGCAACTTCACATTTATAAATGCATTTCACACTATCAAAAATAATGGGAAATTGACAGAACTTGCATTGATCCCAACTAAAAGACCAAGAAACTTGGGCACTCTGAAAAATTGTAATTTAGGTCTCTTTTAACTATATTGACTATTTTTTCTTTTTATATTTAATTTCATACTCTCTTTTAAAAGGATCTTTAAACATTCTTTTAAATCACAAGTTTCATGTTTGTCCACTTGAAAACAGTATTTATAAAAATTATGTAGCATTTCATTAACATACAGTTCTTTTCAAATAAGACAACAGATTGATCAATGCCAAAGTTTTATTAGAACAATGATAGAACGTAAGGGGAAAAACATTAGTGTACAATATGCTCGTTTTACCAATAAAAGCATAAAGTTTACCAGAAACATCATATATGTGGTAACTCAGATCTTCTGGCCCTAAAATCATTCCATCGGTTGATTCTTCAATGCCTATAGTATTTCTGGTGGTTTCACAAGATGAATACATTACTTCATATTCCTTACACATATCATCTGAAAGCTCTGTATTACCTGTATTAAAGAAAACATACTGAAAGTAAACGGGAATTCTTTAAATCCTATCTTTAGGAACTCTGGGCACTAGGTCTTCTATAATAAGATTTTAAGGAATTCTACCAGTTGGGATAATGTCCACATGGTTGTAATAAGAGTTCTCTTCCTGAGGAAGGTAAGTTTACCATTATGGACAAGCTAAAATGATTATCAATAGTTTAAATTCATATAGCACTATCTATGTACTACCTATGTGCAGCTTCTTTATTCACTTGATTCTCAGAAAATCCTATGCCAAAAGTAATTATTATTGTTTTACAGATGAAAGAAACAAGCACAGAGAAGTTAGGTCACTAACCCAAAGTCAAACAGTGAGTAAACAGCACTGCCAATGATGCTAGACCCAAAGATACAGCTACTATTTGAAATTAGTGACCATCCATTCATACTAAAAGAACTGTGTACAAACTACATGTTAAACATTTATAAATATATTTAATCAAATAATCAAAAGATATACCCCAAAGTTCTATAAGCTAATTTGGCCATATGTTTAACCAAAATATGATTTGTACTGATGAAGTATTTAGGACATACCCTCAGGATGAGACCCTGATGTGGCTGCTGTTTCATGCCAAGAGCTTTCAGTTCCATGAGTTACTTGAGTGGCTTCAGTATTTCCAGGAGGAATTTCTTGCCATACTTTGGCATTAGGATTTAAACCAGTTCCTTTAGATGTTACCTGCTAAATAATCAAATGATCTATTTGTAAATTTTAAAAGTCAGTGCATTAAAATTACAAATTTAGATAACAGACTTTTATTTTACTTAAACATGAAGAAAACCCCAATAATATTAAGTAATTTAATAACAAATATTAAATAATATTTTAAAGTTTTGGGCTCATCTTGAAAATAAATCTTTTTAAGGAGATAGACTTGAAATGTAGATGTATAAAATTTAGCTACCTATACAATAAGAAACATATCTCTATAAACGATTAACACAGAAATGCTGCTTTACCCTAATATACTTGCAAATGTCATAAAATGTATTCAAACTATTCACTGATCTTTGGCATTATTTTTTTGTGTATTTACAGCAAATTATCTGGAATGATTTTCCAGGGAATGTAATTTTTATTGCCATCTATGCTGTGACAGACCTTTGAGTCTGAATGATTCTATCACTGGAAATTTTTCCCAAGTCAAAAACAGCAATCTGGGGTGTCTTGCTGACTCAGTTGGTAGATAGAGCATGCAACTCTTGATCTTGGGGTCATGAATTCAAGCCTCATGTTAGGTGTATAGATTACTTAAAAATACAATCTTAGGGCTCCTGGGAGGCTCAGTTGGTTAAGCGACTGCCTTCGGCTCAGGTCATGATCCTGGAGTCCCAGGATTGAGTCCCTCATCGGGCTCCCTGCTCGGCAGGGAGTCTGCTTCTCCCTCTGACTCTCCTCCCTCTCATGCTGTCTCTCATTCTCTCTCTCTCAAATAAATAAATAAAATCTTTAAAAAAAAAAATACAATCTTAAAAAAAAAACCCAACAAAACAGCAATCTGCATTAAATTAGATTGTACTTTTCCATTTGTCCTGAAAGTGTATATTCTTAATGTCCAAAACATAACTAACTGACATTTAAACTAATCTTCTGCATACATCATTTAATCACAGACATGTAGAGGTGAAAAGCAGGAACGGATCATGGGTGTGGGGAGTGGAGAAGAGTATTCAAAAAGTAAAAGGAGGGGAAGAAAGCAGGATGCACAAATACACTTTTACCTCATTCAACCAAACAACAGGACTTGATCCTTCTCAAGTACATTAATGACCTTTCAAAAAGTTTACACTGTGTCTAGAAAATTACTTTTAACTGTCCTCTCAGCCTTAGGCCTCTCCCCTGGATGGCAGGCACCAGAAGGTTGATTCAAAGGGCAAAGAAGTAATTATTCAAGTTTATGACCTGCAGATACTGGGAATTCAGCTTTCATGAAAAATAACTGACACACAATGAATTTATCATTTAAATTTGTCAGAAATTCTGTCTACCTGGAGGGCTCATGGGGTGGTTAAAAAAAAAAAAAAAAAAGCCTTTAAGGTATCACCAACACTAAACATGGCAACCAAAGCAGGACTCTGGGTAGGCAGAACTGCAGAGCTCCCAGATAGAATTGCTGAGAAGACAGTTTTTGAGAGGCCTGACTGTACTTCTGCAATTAATTATGTCCACGAAATTCCCCTGCAATCTTTTAATCTAATAAACCATTATTTTACATGAGTTTTGAGTTTCCATACTGTGCAATAAAACCAACATGACTTACATGTATGAACCAATGAAACATTGTTTCCTTGTTACAGCTTGACATATATTTTTTGATTGCTTCCTTTTATCAACTGAAACATAATCTGGGAAAAAGGAGAAAGCTCAAACACAGTGTCCTTTTCCTTTTTTTTTTTAAAGATTTTATTTATTTATTTGACAGACAGAGACAGCGAGAGAGGCAACACAAGCAGGGAGAGTGTGAGAGGGAGAAGGAGAAGCAGGCTTCCCGCTGAGCAGGGAGCCCGATCTGAGGATCAATCCCAGGACCCTGGGATCATGACCTGAGCCAAAGGCAGACGCTTAACGAATGAACCACCCAGGCGCCCCCAGAGTGTCCCTTTCCATGTCAAGGTTCATTCACCTCTTGGGAGCAAGAGGTGAGCCTTAAAATGGTGGTGGCAGTGGGTAGTATTTTATTGCTGACACTGTTTAGAATGGTCAGTTATAGGATAATAACAAGCATAGCCCTTTTAGTCAATTTCATTATTGTTTTAAAAATTCTCTACAGATAATATACCCCCTTTCTGCCTTTACTACGGCAATACCCTCCCAGAACTTTCCCTCTGGAGCTAAGCTGATTTTGATTTAGTAATTTAAGTATATAGCTTAATGGCAGGAAAGAACTGTGAAGAGCTTGTGATAGCCTAGCCTTCCTGTTAGTGAACAGCATTTAATTGTATATTAAGCACTTTAATAGAATAAAATGTATTTACAAACTTACCCTCCATCATTTTCCTCAATTCTGAGAATACCAGTTATGTCTCTACCCAAGGAAATGGCAATTAACAAAGACTACAGCTTTCAGAAAGAGAAATCAAATTTCTGAGTCTTGATAAATTCAATGAAAGAATTTAAAAAATTCATTTAATAAGATTTGTACATGAAAAAGATAAAGCAAATGAGGCAAATACTAGAAATAACCCCTCATTTATAGAATTGTTATGCAGAGTAGCATGTGGCTTTAATAAAGCAAAAGAGGATTATTTCAAGGTAGTTAATAATTATTACCTAAACATACAATGGTTAAGGCTCTACAATCATACCTGAATTCAAAACCCAGCTCTGACATTAACAATTTTTAAAAAATATTTTATTTATTTATTTGACAGAGAGAGAGAGAGAGAATGAGAGAGCACAAGCACAGGGAACAGCATAGGCAGAGGGAGAAGCAGGCAGCCCGATACGGGGTTTGATCCCAGGACCCTGGGATCATGACCTGAGCTGAAGGCAGACGTGTAACTGACTGAGCCACCCTGGTGCCCCTGACATTAACAATTGTATGATTGTGGGAAAACCTAACTCATATCTCTCGATTTTTCACAACTATAAACTGTGGTAAGAACAAAAAAAATTTTTTTTTAATTTTTATTTTTTTTAAAGATTTTTTATTTTTTTATTAGACAGGGAGAGAGTACAAGCAGGGCGAGCGACAGGCAGAGGGAGAGGGAGAATAAGGCTCCCCGCTCAGCAGGGAGCCCTATGTAGGGCTCGACCCCGGGATCATGACTTGAGCCCAAGGCAGACGCTTAACTGTCTGAGCCACCCAGGCGCCCAAAAGTTTTTTTTAAAGATTCATGAGAGTGCGCATGCGCGTGCAAGTGACCATGAGCGGGGGGGAGGGAGAGGGAAAAGCAGCCTCCCCGCTGACCAGGGAGCCTGACACAAGGCTCGATCCCAGGACCCCAAGATCATGACCTGAGCAGAAGGCAGATGCTTAACCGATTGAGCCACCCAGGTGCCCCAAGAACTAAATTATATTAATAATGGAAAAGCAATTAATACTCAGTATAATACTCCAAAATCCTTTTACACGTTGGTTTTCAACAGAAGGTAATCAACTAACTGTCTCACTCTCAAAAGAATACTAACACAAACACTAATGCATTATATCAAAATAATTGCAAGATGAAATTAAAAGTTAAATGTAAACTATTATGTCATAGAAAGCTGGCTTTGAAGAAACAGGTACTAATCACAAAGGATAAACTGATGACTACAGAATAACATAAAACTGCAACAAAAAAAACCCAAAACATAAAGACTAGGAAAATAAAATTCTAGAAAAAATATACATATATGCACATAAGTAGGAAAATAAAGTACCACTTAACAATTATTAGATTAGCAAAGCACTTAAAAATAATGCCCACACATCAGCATAAAATTTGCAAACTCATTGTTTTAAGAAGATTATTTGAGAGAGAGAGCACAAGCAGGGGTAGGGGGGAGGAGTAGATGGAGAAGCAGGCACCCCACTGAGCAGGGAGCCCGATGTGGGGTTTGATCCCAGGACCCCAGGATCATGAGCTGAGCTCAAGGTAGATGCTTAACTGACTAAACCACCCAGGCAAGCCTGCAAACTCATTCTTTAACAGAGACTGTATAAAATGGTGCGCCTCATATTCTCACATACCAGCATTATTTGTAAGAGCCAACAAATGGAAATAACCCAAACAAACAAGGAATAAGGGAAATCATGACACATTCACTAGGTAAAGTATGACATAGCCATTCAAAATTATAAAGATACATCACCATATTTTATAAAATCTAAAGGGGTACTACTATATCAAAGAAAAAATTGCTGTTTATTAAACTATAACATCAAATATTGTAAGATGTATCCCAGTTTCCAGAGAAATTACAATGTGCAACAACGTGCATGGTAGGGTTGATAAAATATGAAAACATCAAAATGGAAAATGCTTTCACAAAATGAAGTGAAAAAAACCATAACCACCACAGTAACAAAAGCAAATATGTTAAGCAAATCTGTGGGTTGGGAATTAGTACTTATATTACTATCTCCCTTTTCCAGATTATCCTATATGTGAAATAATATATCCAACTAAAGACAGAGATTAAGTATGAAGTTAGTATTAACCACAAATGATTACAGCTCACAGATTATTACAATTGCAAAAAAATACATAAGCATGGATATGGGCTAGAGGGGAACATGATCTGCTGCAATACTCAGATCAGGGATTTTTTTCCTCTAATAAAGCATTCTATTGAAATATTACCTTAAATCCTGAGTCATAAAAAATATAAAACTTAAAAAACCTTTTTTTCGAATGATAGCATGAATGTTACACTGTGTAGTACATTAACATCAAAGATTATTTTATGTATTTTGTGCCTGTATATAATATATACTGTTTTAGTTTTATACCACTCAATATTTTATTAAATTTACAAAAATGTTGATGATTTTCTTTGAACATCATTCTTTCTCACATTTCACACCTTTCTTCTGGAATCATGTCCCTTCTTCCGCAAGGACATCATTCACATTTTTTTTAGTCAGTTCTTAAGTTGTGGCTTCTCTGAAAATGCCTTTGTTTTTACCTTCTACCTCTGCTGTATAAAGACTTTTTTTTTTTGTATAAAGAATTATGAGGCACATATTCCCTTTC